TGGACTGTTGTTTTTTGATGTTTTTTGTAAAGCAGATTTACTGTACAACCAGTGGCACCCGAAGTCAACCAAGGTGCTTTCCGCCAGCCCCGAAGTTCAGGCGCTGGAATAGGGCAAAGACGGAAAAGTCTAGGTGAATCGTGGTTCCATACGGTTTGTCAGGATTTATCACGGTATATGTATGATTATGTATGTTTATCTTGGGCGAATCAACTCCCCAGCTCGTGATTCATGATGATGATTTTTGCATCACAGACCCATTAATCAAAGTCTGAAGATATTGTGAAGATGTATATCAGCAGGGCAGACGGGTTTTGCATGGTTTTGCCTCATCTGAGCTTCCTCTCGATGGCCTTACAGGTCATTGATCTGTGCCCGGAGGATTGGGCTGTTGTCATTGCCACCCGCGGTGTTTTTGCCGTGCCTCGGCCAAAACATGGGGTGCTGCGACAAAGAGCCCAGCACAAATGGCACGGGCCAACCAAGTCTTGGGCCCTTTGTTAGTCTATCGGTCGATTGCATGTTTGTGCAAGCAGCCCGTAGAACCAACCGCAAGTTCAAGATGCAGTTGACCATTGTGGAACATTTATGAACATTTTGGGTTTAGTACTGCAAGTCCTTGTCTAGTCTAGAGACGGTTGATTTGGGACTTGATGCGAAGGTTCAGTTTGATGTCCCCTGGGTGGATGCAGCAGACCTTAGGTTCTCAGTGATCAGGATGTGGCCAATGCCTGCTGGGTGACATGGCACAGAAAGCGTCATCAGTTCCTATGCCGGATTCGATCTAAAGGGATGAGCCGGCAATTAGAAACAGATTGCTTATGATGGGTCTGTCTATAGATTGGTCAGACAGACAGCCAGACAGCCAGACAGACAGACAGACTGACTGATTGATTGATTGATTGATTGATGGATGAATGATAGGTAAATAGACAGACAAGATAGATAGGATAGATAGATGAGATAGAGACGATAGGAAGACAACTTTGATAGATAAGTTAGACAGTCCGTCTTTTTTGTGTTACTTAGTTTAGTTATTTACTTTATTCGTTAGTTAGATAGATAGCCGGATAGCTTGATAGAAAAATCCATCACATATCACGATCTCATCCACATCAGCATCGGATCCTGGGTCATCACTTCACTTCATTTATTTCCAACGTACATCCGCACGTGGCAGCGGATGCCAAGGATGTCATGGCACAGAATGGTGCGGGGCCGCAAGAGGCTGCTCAGGTGGTCACCCAGAGGGCCTTGCAGCTACTTGGTACGGCCATGGATGTTCTGCCCGCTGGGCTGGGAAATCCTTGTGTGTGTGTTTTTTCTTGTTGGCAATCTCCTACAGCAAAAGCAAATAAACAAATGCTGTAAATAATAAATGGAGGTACCTGGACCTATATATATATATATCTATATATATATGTGTGTATAGACACAGAGAGAGAGAGATAGATGGATAGGTAGGTAGATAGATAGATAGATAGATAGATGTCTGGCAGTGTGGCCCTGACTGTGGCGTTTCAGATGCTGAAAGGTTGGGGGCTAAAACGAACCTCACCTGCATCGTGATGAAGCGCCTGGGCGGGAACATGGCAGCTATGAAACTTGGGGCTGGACAGAACGGCCTTATGGTTCCAGGGGAGGTTGATAATAATAATAATAATGATAGTAATAATAAGGATCATAATAAGAATAGCAATAATAATAAATAAATAAATAAATAAATAAAAATAAATAAAAATAAATAAATAAATAAATAAATACACACGCATATATATACACACACATATATATATATAGAAAGGAGAGAGGGAGGGAGAGAGAGAGAGAGAGAGAGATAGATAGATAGATCGATAGATCGATGGATAGGATAGGATAGGATAGATAGGATAGATAAGATAGATAGGACAGGATAGATAGGATAGATAGGATGGATAGGATGGATAGGATAGATAGAATAGATAAGATAGATAAGATAAACAAGATAGATAAGATAGATAAGATAGATAAGATAGATAAGATAGACAAGATAGACAAGATAGACAAGATAGATAAGATAGATAAGATAGATAAGATAGATAAGATAGATAAGATAGATAAGATAGATAAGATCGATAAGATCGATAAGATAGATCAGATAGATCAGATAGATCAGATAGATAGATAGATAGATAGATAGATGATCAACCTGAAATAAGTAAACATGCCTTCAACGCATAGATAAAGTAACACCACTCCGCAGCTAAACTGCCATTTGGCCAGTGGTGCGAATATCGGCGTGTGAGAACTCACATTACTTGTGAGAGGTTGGCATTGAGTGTTCGGTGATTCCCCAAGATGCAGGGATCACTTGAAAGTCCAGGTTGGGATGGACGAAGCCTCCGCTTTAGAGATCAGCGCCTTCGGCTGCGCGTGTCGCGGTGGAAACCTGGAAGATGCTGGAATGGTATGGAATGGTCGTCTCACTGCGGACACAAGAAATTCTGCTGCCAACATGGTGAGTTTGACGACAGCTGCCGCACACAGAAAAGTGAGCGCTGGGGCGCCGAAGGCAGAAGCAACTTTACCGACTTTACTGACTCCGGTCTCTTTGGCATCATTCTCCCATGTACTTGATTTTCAGCTTAAGCTGGAGACCCCAGCTCAGTGGATATGACGGAACACCACGCTCAGTACAAAGCTGCACAAGGTTCTAGAATACATTCACTGCATTCACTCTCGATCATTTGGGGTAGTTCTCCTTGAACAGAAGTTTTGTTGTGCCAGCATGGTTGTTCTTCTAGATTCTAGATCATCTTCAGCATTATTGACTAGCCAAGAGCTGGAAGGTTGCTGAAGCAGGGCCACTTTATCATGGAACCTGAAAAAACTGTCACTTGTAGTTGGTGGTATGAATTGGTTCTGCTTTCCTCCAAGATCTGGCAATATTTGCAATGATAACTCTAAAATGTCTACTGTGTCATGGGTTGAAACCACCAACCACATCGATTTCGCTGCATCTTCGGAGCCCTATGGCGGATGCACCATGGCGCTTCCCGAACTGCCGAAGGTGCTTTGTTCAATTCTGTTATGCTTGCTGAGAGTCTCCCTTACAATGAATCCCAAACATGGATTAAACATGGCTTAAAAAGAAAACATGGCTCCTTCCCAACATGAATCTCACAATATGCTACTTGTAGATTTCAAGATAGATGGATAGATGGATACAGATAATCTAAACAGCACACACACACATATATATAGTTCTATATATGTATATATATGTACATACGTACATACATACATACATACATACATACATACATACATACATATATATATAAATTTGTGCAATATATATATATATATATGTACAACACACACATACACACACACACACAAATACATGTACATGTATGCAGAGATATCATCTAACATCTGCGTGCATTTTCGCGCAGGGCTTGGACCCCATGCAGTTGGAAGCGGACCTCGAGCTGCGCCTGCGGCACCTGGGCGGCTTGGCCGGCGGCTACGCCGCCAGCGCCGCTGCTGGCTGCGGCGGCTGCGCTGCCGCGCAACTGGTGCAGCTGCCGGGCAAGGCCGGTCCACGGTGGTTCCAAACTTGGAAAGTTGTCATGGATTGAAAACTGATTGAACATATTGAAATGGGTATTTGAATGTATTTGGTTAATATGACTCCTAACTTTTTGTTTTGAAATTGTGGTGAATTTCCGGAACATATTTGGTAAACATATCAATGTCTAATCAGTTATGATTGATATGTTGGTAGGGGATTTTCCACCCGGTATGGTCACACGTATTTAGACCGAAACATGGATCGTTCAAGAGAATTCTGGATTTGATGGGCTCATCCGGACCCAAATTTTGATTTAGTAGGATTGATCAGCTGGTTGACCAGGATTGATCCAAAAAAACGGCGAGGAGGGACCACTGGCTCGACAAAGCTTCGCAGCAGTGGCCAATCAGGTGTGCGATGATCGTTATTGATCGTTGGTGAGTCAAATTGATTGCATTTTATATCGTTTTATCGTATTTCCATGTATTTCCCGATTATATTTCCCTGTATATATATAATATACATATATAGAGTTTCTTTTCCTCATGGTTCTTGGGCTACCGATGCTGGGAAAGTGACATGTCGGCGAGCCATTTGGGCAATAGCAAGGCACTAGACATGTTGCCATGGTGACCTGAACGATGCAGCTTTTTCTTGGCACCATGGACAGTCTCAGTGGCGTTTGCCGATTTGTGATCCTTAAATTAAACTCTCAAACTCCAATTTCGGGGTTCCTTGATTGGGTGGTTGAGGCATATAAGTCGGTGAGCAAGATGTTGGAAAGCCCCAACTTGCCAGAAGAGAAGCGAGCACCTGGGCTGCCAGCGGGCTGCTACATGGACTGCAGACCTCTGCGGATGGATGCAGTCGATTAGATGGGTGTACAAGATGCCTAATAGATTTTAATAGTATTTTCGTGCATTTTCTGCTAAGTGCTAGTGTACTGAGGTGGATGTTCTAATGCGCATCAACGCTATCTACTTATTCGTGGCCACCTGCGTGTGTTGGTCCCTGCCCGACCCGGATCGTTTGGACGAGATGGTCACATGGCTTGTGGGCCCGGACTTGGGGTTGCACGACGTCATCAAAGACTGGCACGCAGATTGCAAGCAGCGCAAGGGAAGACGCCTGGCCTTTGGCTGTGGTGATTCAGGGAGCTTCTTTTAGGTGCTTTAGCTGATTTGATGTTGAGAAAGATAGGAGTCCCTGGGAAACAGGAGCCAGCCATGCTGGGAATTTGCTGACTTGGCAGAAGTTTGCAATTAAATGGTATACAGTACACGTAAATGTGTCATCTGGGGGATGCCAGGACCGACCCTCAGGCAGTTGGCGAGAGAATCCCTTCCCATTAGGTGGGCCTTTTCAGAGAGAGTCGTCACCACCTCTGTTGATTAAGTTCATTTAACTTTTGTAATTCCTTGCGTGTAAGACCAATTAAGACCATCATGCTAGTTACCTTCTGATTGGATCAGATGCCAGCCAGAATTTTACAGGGAATGCACGTGTTTGTACTAACTAGAGTAACTACTGTAGAGTCTGGGCTGTGCTTTGCCACTTCGTTTCACCACCTTCAAGTAATTCCAGGTGTCCTGGGCCTACTTGCAGGGTCCTGAGCGACCCCTTGGCACCGTCCAACTGCGTCCGCAAAGGAGAGATGACGGCAGACGGCCAAGTTCGACTCAATGCAGCGACTCGATGTCAGCGTTCTTGGCAGGGCACTGATGATATATTTCCATGTTGCCATGTTTCTATGTTTTCATTATTCCATGTTTCCGCGATGATGATGATGATGATGATGATGATGAGGATGACGACGACGACGACGACGACGACGACGACGAGGACGATGACGATGACGATGACGATGATGATGATGATGATGATGATGATGATGAGGATGACGATGACGATGACGATGATGATGATGATGATCATGATGATGATGATGATGATGAGGATGACGATGACGATGACGATGAGGATGATGATGATGAGGACGACGACGACGACGACGGCGACGACGACGACGACGACGACGAAGACGAAGACGATGACAATGAGGATGAGGATGAGGATGAGGATGACGATGACAATCTCGATGACGATGCCGATGAGGATGAGGATGATGATGATGATGAGGATGATGATGATGGTGATGATGATGATGACGACGACGACGACGACGATGACGATGACGATGACGAAGACGATGACAATGAGGATGAGGATGAGGATGACGATGAGGATGAGGATGACGATGACAATCTCGATGACGATGCCGATGAGGATGAGGATGATGATGATGATGATGATGATGATGATGCTGGTGATGATGATGATGATGATGATGATGATACTGATGATACTGACGACGACAAGGATGAGGATGAGGATGACGATGAGGATGAGGATGACGATGACGAACACGATGCGGATGAGGACGAGGACGAGGATGACGATGACGATGAGGATGACGATGACGATGAGGATGAGAATGGGGATGAGGATGTTGATGAGGATGACGATGAGGATGAGGATGACGATGGCGATGAGGATGAGGACGAGGACGAGGATGACGATAAGGATGAGGATGAGGATGAGGAGGACGATGAGGATGAGGATGGCGATGAGGATGTGGACGAGGACGAGGATGACGATAACGATGAGGATGTTGATGAGGATGACGATGAGGATGAGGACGATGAAGATGAGGATGTGGATGAGGATGATGATGAGGATGATGCTGAGGATGAGGATGATGATGAGGATGGCGATGAGGATGAGGATGAGGATGATGATGATGATGATGATGATAATGATGATGAGGACGACGACGACGACGACGACGAAGACGATGATGATGATGATGATGATGATGCTGATGATGATGCTGATGACGATGAGGATGAGGATGGCGATGACGATGATGATGATGATGATGATGATGATGATGATGATGGTGATGGTAATGATGATGTTGATGTTGATGATCATGCTGATGATAATGATGATGATGATGGTGATGACGACTATGATTGTCATGATGATGATGATGATGATGATGATGATGATGAGGATGACAATGACGATGAGGATGAGGATGACGATGAGGATGAGGATGAGGATGACGATGAGGATGAGGATGACGATGAGGATGAGGATGAGGATGACGATGAGGATGAGGATGAGTATGACGATGAGGATGGAGATGAGGATGACGATGACGATGACGATGATGATGATGATGATGATGATGATACTGACGACGGCAAGGATTAGGATGAGGATGAGGATGAGGAGGAGGATGAGGATGAGGATGAGGATGGCAATGCCGATGAGGATGAGGATGATGATGAGGATGATGATGATGATGATGATGATGATGAGGATCACGATGATGATGACAATGACGATGAGGATGACGATGAGGATGAGGATGAGGATGGCGACGATGATGATGTTGTTGATGATGATGATGATGTTCAGGATGACGATGACGGTGAGGATGACGATGACGATGACGATGATGATGCAAACCTACATGATGTAAGACTCATTTCATTGGGGGACCCATTTGAAACTGGAGAAAACCAATCGCTGCGATTCGCTGTTTTAACCCTAAACCTAAAATTATCCGCGAGCCAGGGTCATGGGTAGATTCCTGCGATTGGTCCCAGGCACACTTGGAATGGAGCCTTTTTCCCGGGCAGATCACCAGATTAAGATTGTAGTTATATAATTTCTGCATCCTTCTGCATCCTTTTTGCATTTTTTTTTGCACCATGAAATGAAAAGCGGATTCTTGCCAGAACATGTCGGATTTTGGAGCTATTTCTGAAAATTTTACACGAATCAGGTGAGAAAATTCCACATTCTTACCATATCGTGCATCTTCCACTTTTGGTCGCATCTCCTGTGAATTTCCTAAGGCATTTGAAGCATTGTTGGACATAGCCCAGCAGATGTCACGAACTGCGTTACTTGGATCCTATTGGTGCTGAAAGCCTTGTTTCTTGGGCCACATTGCCTCACATGGATCCATACAGTGGGTCAAGACCTATATATATATATATATTTATTTATACACGCACACACACACATATACGCATATATATATATAATGTACCTATATATATATATAGGTACATGCAGTAATAATAGTTGTTATATAATATACACATAGTATGGTTATAAGTTATATACATATATACACATAAAACGGCAACAACAATAGCAATATAGCAGTAACAATAGTAACACATGTAACACTACTACACTACTACTATTGACAATGCAATAAGCACTATGTTTGATATGATGTTTGAGATTTGATTAAAAAACATCATAATATCTTTGTGGCCACTGGGATGAACATCGCTGGTAGAACCATTTCCATGCAGCCCCCGCGGTTGAGGATCGTGGAGCCTATGTCTCAAGCAGATCCCATTTGCCCCGCACCAGGTGTCACGCGTTTTCGGCGTGGGGGGGATCCATGTTGGCAAAACCATAGTAACCACCATGGCAAACCATCCTAAACTATGGATAACTATGGTAAAACCATGGTAAATCCTAATGATCCACCATCCCGCTTGTATAACCCGCTTGTATAACCAGTTGTATGCCTATTTTTTCTCCATTTCGAGGCAGCCCCAAAAAAACGGGTTCGCATACGGTTCACATCATTTGCACACCCGGACCCTGTATACCTAGACGATCGCCTTGGCAGGTGACCCTGCCAAGTTGCAAGCATTGTTGGCGAAACCACAGTTGACGGAGGCACGGCACATGTCACATGGTTAAAAGACATGAAATACCTCCAGACCCCCAACAATATGCCGCTTAGCATAGCTGCCCACCAAGAAAATTGCATGGAATATCCAGACGAGGCGTTGATTCGGATGGTGCATTGTGAGACTTTGCCCAGAGACATACGCAGATCCGACTGGATAAATCTTGAGAGGCTGACGTCCCTCCAGACGTCTTCGGTCACTGGGCAAGATCCATGGGACCTCAGCTCTTTATTGAGCTAATGCGTGGGATTAGTCCGGGGATACATGGGATGTTAGATGATGTTAGATGATGTTAGTGAATTTTTATTGGTTGCTGACTGGGAAATTTCAGGGAAGACTGAATGACTGGCAGCTTCCGACAGTCAGTTTCGATGCTCACCGCAGCCAGCAGTTGCTCAAACCCGTGGGATACCTGCGCGGGTCTGCGCGTGAGCCTGACATAGCCTGATGATTTTCCATCCATCCATATACATTCATTTATACGCGCGTATGTATGTGTAGACATATACAAGATAAGTATATGATGTATATGTAGATAGGTATATAAGCACATGCGATTATTAGATATATACATAAACAGATGCAGCCGTTTGCCATTAGCACTCAGTTGGGAAGAAAACCACAGGTCAAAGGATCACAGTGAGACCTGACCACAATGTACGACAGCACGTCAAGATGGCAAATTTTCTACGTGGTCCTGGTCGAGGCAATATTTTCCGCCAGGAATGGCCCAGAGCTTGTGATTCCGAAGGAATGCACATTGCTTTGTCGCATTTTAAGATTTACCTGGTCCAAGGTGGATCTGATCAGTGTAGGTTTAGGAGGAAGCATCATTTTGCCATGGAGGCCATGCAGTGCTATCATCTTTGGATGAAAAGAGACCTGCACGCGGCGCGATGTTCAGCCAGGGCCATCACCCACCCATGCTTTGTATTGGTTGTGTTTTCGCACATGCTGTGTTCCCCGAATTGGTTCAAGGGAACATCTGCAAGCAATTTCAAATGGTGTCCTGGAACTTCCTGGAACTTTCTGTAGATGTTCCATGATGATCATGATGTTGCCTCAAACCAAGCCGGTGATGTATCGCCCGGCAGCTGCCCAGGTTCGTCGCTGCAGCTGCAACCACCTCTGTTGCAGCTGTCCCTCCTTCGCTGCACGGCGATGCTGTGGGAGCTGCGCGCGGCCTACGCGGAGCCGGAGTTTCACCGAGAGTGGCCTGGAGGATGGAATCCTATCCCAACTGGGTGAACTACTGGATACCACGGGAAAATCAGAGACATCTACTTGTATAGACCATAGACTCAAAAGACAAATGAATTTCATTAATTTTCCATCGCCACGTTAAATTACCTGAGGGAGTAAGGCTGCATCACTGTGATGTTTTTTCACTAGTGCTCAAAGACAGAGCGCAGCAAGAGTCATGTCAAGATCACGCTCGATCCCTGCCACTGCTTGCCAGGTACTGTACTCTATGATAATTATGATATATATAATGACAACGGAATATAAGATGGCAGAATATGATAGGAGTACACCGCGCACAAGGGTTCTTAATACCTCTTGCTGGCACTGGGATGTAGAAACCTCTCATCACCCCAGGTACATGAAACTGCGCAACTCGCCATCTGCCCATGGCCAGCACGTAGAGTTTACTCTGCAGAAGCAGGGGCCTGTGCTGGAAAAGTTTCTGAGCTGCACCCTACAAGTTCTCCGTGTGTGTGTGTATGTGTGTGCGCGCGCGCGCGCCAATGGTACTGTATCGAGCTAGCCTCAAACATGGCAATTAGACATTTCCTTATCAATTACCAATGGGATTTAAATGGAAAATCATAAGCAAATTGGGATTTTCCATTGCCAAGCCCTCGGAAATCCCTCATGTTTCTCCTTGGCCCCTGCGGCTGGCAAGTGAGGTATGGCTTTGAGCCATCCCTGAGAGGTGTCATTGAGATGCGCTCACAGACCAGGGCGCTCACATCTGACGCAGTGCTTCGGCTTTATGGATGGCATTTGTTGGCCCACTTGGTGGAAATATTGAAGTATGTGCAAGTCTTTTTTGAATTTGCTCTCCCTTTCCACTTTTCAATACTTTTCATACTTTTGGTTTAGGCGGTTTAGGGCACTCCTAAGCACTCCTAGCTGAGCCTGATCAAGCTTGAAAGGCCAAGGCCTCCACAAATCTCTAACGCCCTGACACATAAACTTGAAGAACTTGGAGAGCTTTCCTTTCCCTCTGATCCCACCATGGCCCACCATGGCCCACCACGGCCCACCATGACCCGCATCCTGCGTCAGGTGATTCTGAAGTTGCTGCAGGACATCCATGGTCTTCTGGAGGCGCGAAAGCCATTACCCACCAGGGTCACTTGGCGTTTCCAGATGGGATGGCGGCCAAGCTCTGAACAGGGCATGTCCTTGATCCAAAGCAGCTGGGACACTGGAGAGCGGATGCAGATCTTGGAGGCACCCAAGCTAGAGGCCTGACATGGCGTTGGCATGGACATGACATGTTGAAGATTTATATTTTGTAAAATGTCAATTGATGTCAATTGTTTTTTTTGGTCGACCTTCCGAACTTATGAAACTGGATGATTTTTGTTGAGATCTCTCTTTTGATCAATGTTACCCTGCAAATTCTCACACTGTCTTCTTACAAGACCAACCCAAATCTGGAGCCAGGCCGATTTCGATTTTTCAGGGCCAGTGATAGAGGTGCACTTGGATCATGCCAAGCAGGACCAACTTTGGCAGAGAACTTGGCCCGTCGGAGAAGATTTGTTTGAACATTGCTTTTATGTAGATTGTGCCAAAGCCCTTTATTCAAGAGGCTGTAGCGAGTTGACTGTTTGCTGGATGTATCTCATCGCTGATTTATTTGCTGCAACATGCTGCAACATGCAGCACCGATACTGACAATATACATCACACAACACTGCACGGCACTACATACACTAGGTTCCATCGGTGTTCACTGCTTTTGATTTTTTTTTGACTGTTTTTGAGTGGTGTTCGAACCTTTTTGTAAGTTTTTTTTCAATGTTCTTTGTCGTTTTTTGGGGTCCTGTTTTGCTATTATTTTGTAGATTCTATTTTTCAAATTGATGTTTTATATATTGGCCATTCTTGTGAGGCAAGCATTTCCGATAATTTTTTCCCGTTCCGTTGTATGGAACAACCTAATTATACGCACCACCTAATTCTAGAGACAATCTCTCTGTAGGAAAACAACGTGCTCGTGACTTCTTTATCGTTTTTTTTTTTCTCCAGTATTATCCCGACACAATCAAACTTGTTCCTATATAATTATATCTGGTCCTATACATCATCATCATCATCATCATCATCATCATCATCACCATCATCATCATCGTCATCATCGTCATCATTGTCATCATCGTCATCATCCCCACCATCATCACCATCACCATCATCATCATCATCATCACCATCATCATCATCATCACCATCACCATCACCATCATGATCATCATCATCATCATCATCATCATCACCACCACCACCATCATCATCATCATCACCACCATCATCATCATCATCATCATCATCATCATCATCACAACCATCATCATCATCATCATCACCATCATCATCATCAGCATCACCATCATCATCACCATCATCATCATCATCACCACCACCACCATCATCATCATCAGCACCAGCACTACCAGCACCACGGTCACCACCACCACGACGTCCCTTTGCACGGGCCACAGATGGCCACAGAATGTAACATGCCTAGGCCCCTTGGGTGCACGACTTCCATCCTGATCAGGAGATCCTGGGTTTTGGCACTGCATTCACCGAAGCCAGTGCTCTCGTCTCCTGGTCGGATAGATGGAACTTCCTTTTTTCCCGAATGCGTAGCAAGGGTTCCCGTTTCACTCTGGGGGTCTGGGGGTTGAGGGTGTGTTCGCTCGACGTTGCGTCCGCGTCCGCAACCGTCCGCAACCGTCCGCAACCGTCCGCAACGAACCGTCCGCAACCGTCCGCAACCGTCCGGCCGTATGGCCGTGCCTATGGGAAGTTCTGCAGAGGTGGTCATTTTTGGAGGTTTCAGACGTCTGGTTGCTTCGTTTCGCGTGGCAGGCGTGGCACTTCGTGACATTGCAGACGTGTTCTGGAACGTGTCGAAAGTCGTTTTGCGTGGCAGGCGCAATACTTTTGCGACGTTTTCAGAAGATGTGTTGCAGTTTTCGTGGCAGGCGCAGCACTTTGGACGTGTCCATCGTCATTTTTCGTGGCAGGCGCAGCACTTTAGACGTGTCCTTTTGCGTGTTTTTTGTAAATCGCATTGGCAGGGCTGCGTCAAGTGGCGACAAGGTGCAAATTCCGTGGCAGGCATGGCATTTTGTGCGATGTGGTGAAAATTGACGGAAGCCTCGCACGAAACATCGATTTTGAGGTTGCAAATTTTCAGGTTCTAAGGAAAACTCGTAGGAAAACGTCGATTTTGAAGCTACAAAGTGTGAAAATTGGAGGACGTCTCGCACGAAATGCTCGTTTTGGTGCTCCCACCTGTATCGTCTCGCGTGTCTGGTTTTCCCGTGGCCTCGCCGTGTCTATGGGGGAAGCTGCAAAACTTGTCCTTTTGTCATGTTGCCAACTGTGAAAATTGCCGGGAGTCTCGTACGAAATGCTGGTTTTTCTGCATTCACGTGTCTTGTCTCGAGTCGCTGGTTTTCCTGTGGCGTCGCCGTGTCTATGGGGGAAGCCGCAAAACCTCTCCTTTTTGAAGGTTTCCAAGGAAGTTGTCATGTCGTTTTGCGTGGCAGGCGTGGCACTTTGTGACATTCCAACCTGTTGGATGATGTTCACAAAATGTCAAAATTGGAGGAAGTCTCGTACGAAATGCTTGTTTTTCTGCATCCACGTGTCTTGTCTCGAGTCGCTGGTTTTCCTGCGGCGTCGCCGTGTCTATGGGGGAAGCTGGCAAACATGTCCTATTCGAATGTGTCCAAGCAGGTTGTCATGTCGTTTTGCGTGGCAGGCGTGGCACTTTGTGACATTCCAACCTGTTTGAGAACGTGTCGAAAATATCGAAATTGGAGAAAGTCTCGCACGAAATGCTGGTTTTTCTGCATCCACATGTCTCGTCTCGAGTCGCTGGTTTTCCTGTGGCGTCGCCCTGTCTATGGGGGAAGCTCCGCACTCCATACTCTACACTTTACACTCCACACTCCACATTTACACTTTAGACTCCACACTCTACACTTTACACTCCACACTTTACACTTTACACTCCTCACTCCTCACCTGAGACTTTACACTCCACACTCCACACTTTACACTACAATCTACACTTTCCACTCCTCACTCCTCACTCTACACTTTACACTCCACACTCCACACTTTACACTCCACACTCCACACTTTACACTACACACTCCTTTCTTTACACTCCTCACTCCACACTCCACACTTTACACTCCACAAACACTCCACACTCCACACTTTACACTCCTCACTCCACGCTTTACACTCCTCACTCCTCACTCCACACTTTACACTCCTCACTTTACACTCCACACTCCTCACTCCACACTTTACGCTCCTCACTCCACACTCCACCCTCCACACTTTGCACTTTACACTCCTCACTCCACACTCTACACTCCACACTCCACACTCTACACTCCACACTCTACACTTTACACTCCATACTCCACACTCTACAGTTTACACTCCGCATTCTACACTTTACACACTCTACACTCCCCACTCCACACTTTACACTCCACACTCCTTACTTCACACTCCACACACTCCACACTCTCTACACTTTCCACTCCACACTGCAGACTGGTAACAAGGGAAACATGTACAAGACTGTTCAAATAAACTATTGCAGAAAGGTATTGTGCGTGACTGCATAACCATGTGTTTTGACATCTGTACCATTAACATACGTGTGAGCATTCGGGTTCGTGGGCTTCATCTTGTTTTTTTGGGGGGGTGCACTGTTTCGAAACGCTGAAGCCATGGTAGTTATTGAATATAGTCCAGGATTTCTCTATCCTGCAATTTCATGCTTTCCATAATTCTTTCCATATTTTTCCAATTATATTGAGGAAAACTTGGTCAAAAGGCAACTGGTCCTCAACCCTATCCTAAATTTTCTATAGGTGTTCCACCTTTAGCCACAGACTTTCACAGATCTTGTCCATTTTTCCTTCACCTCGGGTGCAGCCGAGGTTTTCCAGGGCTTAGATCCTGAGCTTCAACGAGAGGTGCTGGAGCTCTACTTTGGAAATGAGGGAATTGGCATCTTGGCGCCGGGTCTTAGGCACGGAAAGTATGACGATGGGAAATCTCCATTTCCACTGGTAAGACGTGGTCACATCATTATATATAGACAAAACAAAAAAAATTAGATATGCTATCAAAAAAGGAGGATTTCCAGTGCCAGGAACATTTTACCAAAGTAAAAAGGACAGGAATTACTGTTTTCTCGCAGATGAAGGCTATGGCAGATATGCTGCGGAGATGGAACTCAGGTCTCACCTTGGGACGTGTGCACATCAATAGCTGCGATTTCTCCTTGGGAAACTATTGTTTCGACCCGGTGGAGGAAGATTACGAGCTGGATCATTTCGACATGCAGGAGCCATTGCACATGAAATTTATACTGGTTGTGGCTTGATTTCATGGAATATTCGCAGAATAATCGAACCATCCACAGAATTTTGCAAAGAATCATGAGGGCCTTTCCATGGTCTTCCTCTAATTTCCCTTCTGACAGCCAGCATAAGCCACCCATTTTTGGAGTTCACAGGTGAAGCGCGACAGCAAGGCGCTGATTCCATTGATCCATGGGGCCCAGAAGCTGTGCCGCACGCTGCAACTCATGGCTTCACCCTGGAGCCCTCCGGCATGGATGAAAATCAGCAAGGCATGGCAAATGGCATGGCAATTATGGTGGATGTGGATGGAGTTTATGGAGTTTACACATGAGATTATCATATAGTAATGTGAGGGATGTTCAATTTGATGGGCACATAAGCCACGATGGTTGATAGCCTTTCAGCTGGCCTCTGAATTCACAGAGCACCGGCACAGCATACTCGCTTCTTGGGATGGGAGATGATGGGAGATGATGGGAGATGATGGGAGATGATGGGAGATGATGGGAGATGATGGGAGATGATGGGAGATGATGGGATAATGTAATATATATATATGTATACGCCATATATATATATATAGACCTATATTATTATTATTATTTTAAGTATATATACACAATATACCATATGTCATAATATCTAACATATGGTATATATAACCTATAGAACTATTTATTGATAATCAAAACCATCCTGGAATAGATCGAATATTATCATTTCAATAAATCATCACTCAAATGGGAATATTTTTTCTAACATCCCAATATTCTATCCACTTGATTTTTACACATATGTGCACATATTTCTTTTGACAAGGAATTTGAGTTTATTTTTTTCCAGATCTTGCAATCTGGAGGACTTACGGTCATCAAGTGATGTAGAGGTGAGCTTTCTCAAATCCAGCTCCGTTGGACCTTTGCTTTGCTGCCGGAATCCTGGATTACTGTACATATCTGTACATTACAGTCCATGTTGTGGCTAGAGCCGCGTCGTGATTACTGGATTTCCACAGATTGCATTTGTCTCTTTAAAGAGAACTGCTTGAGTTTAGCCGGGTTTTTTCAGTCGTATTTGGGTGCGAGATGCCTGTTCTGACTTCTCCCCGAATTTCCCGAACAGGCGATGAATGGTTCAACGAAACCAGGGCTGCGACCAGAATGCCAGGCCTGATGGAGGGGTGGCAAGGTGTCTACAGGAAGCATATGGCGAAGCCATGGGCGAAGCATGTTCACTTCATTTCAGTTCCAAACTTTTAAACCTTTTAGATCTTGAGCTTAGTGCAGGTATTTGCAGATGTTTGAGACAGGACACACGACTGCAGAATATTGCAGAATGAGATTTTATCATATGTATATTATACATATATATCGCATATATTAATATATGTAAATGTGTGCTTGCCCTCCTTCAAACAACTAATTTCACGGCACTTTGGCAGGACGTTTGGGCCAGATACATCGCGACTTGGATCTCAGCATACAGGCAGCAGCAACTCGGCGAGACAGGCAGTCAATCGTCATGACAACTGGTGCCGAAATTCATTCATGAAATATGAACATGTAGTTAGAAAATAGAGCAAAAATAGACAGCTTGATCCCAAACCAGAACAGCTTAGTACGACCCTGCCCTGCTCAAGGAGTGTGAAGATTTGGGCTGTGACCGTGCAGAATGAACCGGAGCATAACGCTCCTTGGGAAGCATGCTGCTACACTGCCAAGGACGCTTGGCCTTGGCCTTGATTCTAAGGAACCACAAACGCACTGTACACGCTTGTCCGCAGTATCAGACTGCAAGGTGATATGCAGACTCAGATCCATGTGCTGATTAAGTAGATACCCTGCTTGCATTGACTAACAATTCGTTGCAGAAGGGAGGAAACCACAGGCTGCCAGCAGTCCATGCCCCACCAAGGAAGAAGCTGAATTTGTCGCGCTGCATTTGGGCCCCACCCTGCGATCGATTCACCCAGATGTGCAGATTTTCATCTACGACCACAACAAGGACAGAACCGCGGGAACAGTCCGAGAGAGGGAAGCAAAGCGCAGGTTGCTGCCACTCGCAAACTCTGAGCACACCTATAAGTCCCCAAACCCAAAGATCTTGGTTCACATGGTTCACATGGACATGAACCCTCCAAATTCATCCAACTTCCAGGCTGCCAGGTCCAACCTTTCCCCATCCAACTTGCCAAGTGTGTTTCATGTGTTTCATGGTGGCTTGCTAGGATCACGTGTATGACTGGGCCCGTGAAGCCTTGGGTGTGGAGCGGCCATCGCCAGCCAAAGCTTTTGTGCGAGGCATTGCGTTTCACTGGTACGCAGGCGTGGCCGGCGTGGCTCTGTGACCCCATATCTCCCCAGCGGTCACCATTAGGATGCGAGTGTTGGAAATCTAGTCGCCGAGGAAACAGTTGAACTAAACTAGGCTTCCGGTTTGTCACGATTGTCACAATTGAATTCGTTTAAATGAAATACCTTCTACGTGTTCAAGCTCACCGAAGTTGTGCAATGCTGGACTTGGACTGAACTGGACCATTTTTTGGAGTACATTTGGAAACAGATTCCTTCAAGATTCCTCAACTATGTTGCCCATTGGTCATGGGGTATATTCGGGTCTTCCAAAAGCTGTGGCTTGATGCATAGAGATATTGATGATTATTGATGGGCTTATCACGGGTCTAGAAGATTCTAGAAGCACACATGACGAAAGCAAACCCATGTGGCATAGCTGGCATAGCTTCACCACCGGTATCAACTCTCCGCAGGCCCGCATTTTTTAGGAAGTTGGGAGTGCCAAGCCAGAGCAGCCATGGGTGCATGGTTGCTCCTAGTGACTTCGCTGTTGATTTGGGGGCCATGGCAGCCATGGGGACCTTTCTGCCAAGTTTGGAGCTTTTCGTCCCCTGGCCGCCCTGGCCGCCCTGGCCTCCTGCTTCCAGAAAAAAGCGGCTACCGAAGGCTTCAAACCGAGCTCTGGCCACGTTTCACCAACCATGGGATGATGCAGCGAGTGCGCAATGCACTGGAAGCCGATCAAGCGAGTGATGAACCAATGGTCTACCAAGAGTTGAGGGCCTACACTCAGGACTGCTGGGATGCTTTTGGCCAAGTTATATGGAGATATATGGAGTTCCTCCTTGCGTAAATTTGTTACAAAACTAGGGTGCATCAACGGTCTACATGAGATATTGTGGGGCTATGATTCTTTCAATGCTTCCAATACAAGTGTTTTGCCGTGTTTCGCTACAATCGCTACAGCTAGGACGTGGTTGAATTGGCACTATCCTATCACCGCGAGGGGGTTTCAGGATCCAGTGTCACCAGTGTCCCTTTGCAGTATCAAAAAATAGAATCAAAATGAATCAAATACATTTGGCCTTGGAGGGGTCCATCGGAGTAATTACTGGTGCTGTAGTGGTTGCACCAAATGACCGTAATGACCGTAAATTTATTGTACGCAAGATCCATGTGACCTAAATCTGCTTAAATCATTTGAAATCTACTTAAATGATCTCAAATGATCTTAAATGTCCAACCATCAAGCTGCTGTCTTGTCTGCCGAGGAGCTGTTTCCCAGTGGATCCCACATGTTACCCAGCAGCTCCCGCGGACGTCTGCTGACACGGCTGGCTGCTGGGGCAACAAGAATCTTGGAGCTGGGCACCTTCACGGGGCGCCCTGGCTGTCCATCGGTACCAGTACCCCAAAGGTCACCTAAGGCCAAAGGGGCCTCAGATGGCCTCAGGTTTAGGGGCTTAATATGAACATTTATTATCATTCATTAACCTGCATCAACCCTATGAATGGGGATTATTCAGTGTTTTCAGTCAATCTGTGTTTCTAAAGCCTATTTTTTATTAAACAGGAGGTTTGATTTGGCATTTTTTTTTGCATGCGTTTGAGTAGTAATCAGCCATTTTGCAGGGAATCTGTCACTTTGAGGGGCTGTGACCGATCGTGAGTGGCTTTTTTCCCACATGTGCAGCAGTTTCTCTATTCTGCTAGTGTTGGAAACTCTGAACCTGGAAACTATCGGGACAGCTGGATGCTTGCAGCGTATTCCTTTCATCTTTATGTGTTGGCTATCTCAAGTATAAGCTCAAGTCATTCAATTTCACCAATATCAGCCATGGCATCAGGAAAAAGTTCAGCAACTGGCCAGATCTTCAGTTCGAAACCCAGATATCAATATAGAATAACACACATATATATATATAATATTATATAATTATATATATATATATATACATATATAGATAATACCAATAGATTTCAGATTTCAGATGTCAGATGCATCAGATATCCTTTGCGCTCAGGTACTCGGCCCTCTGCTTCGCGGAGGCTGGTGCCACGGTGGTCACCATGGAACGTTGCCCGCTCCAGGCCCAGGCGGCGCGGGACTTCCAAAGAATCCACGGAAACACCATGGGCCAGGTGCAAGCTACCTGCCATTGGTTGGTGCAGCTGTTTTTTTTGGGTTTGTAGACTATATATATATAAATATAAATATATATATATATATATTATACTGTAATTGTGTAATTATACATATTTAATATTTATGTGTTTTGTTTTTTTTCATTTAATAACATTTATGTTGCTTGGGGAGGGCGATCCCAGTGGGCATCAGTATCTTAATGTGTATTATAATGTGTGTTAATCTGTATTAATGTATTTTAATTTGCTGGGATTGCTGGGGTAAAATTTGGACTGCTCTGTTTGGCATTTTGGCTAGCAAACTGTGGTGCAGGCTGATGATTTTGAAAAACATGTCTTGATCGTTTTCTTCCTAGGCCATGTGCAGATCCAAACACGTAGATACGTGTGAGACTTGATGAAGTTCAATACCGAACATGTTACCTGAAAATAGGGTATCCTAAATCCCATACATTCATAGATTATTTATCCTTAATTAAGATAGCAATTTAGGAGGGGTATCGGTATAGCCTATTCTCACAGCCGTGTGGCCCAGGTTGTGGAAGGTCTGGCGCAGGAACTGCTTCCTGAACTCGTTGCTTGTTCCACCAAGTTCGACATGTTCCACCTGGATGCGTCCATGAAAAGTACCTGGGCGCGCCATCGGAATCGGATCTGATTTCTATTGATTCCTGGTCAGTTTGAGAAGATAGGAGAATACTGCAGAATGCTACAGTACATCCTTGTGCTTCAAAGTGTTGGTGCTGGTGTCGTGTGCCAACTGGTTTGATTATACCATGGAAAGCTCAAGAGCTAGCGCGATGGCCATGCCCTCTTTCAATTTTCAATCTTCCAACTTAGGCTACGAGGAGTTTTTGGACCTGACATTGGATGATTTGCTGGCAGAAGATGGCATGGTCCTTGCAGACAACGTGCTGTTCCGTGGCATGGTCACCGCAGTGCCAGAGGGCCGCAGACCTGAGGAAACTGCGCAGGAAAGTGAGGTGAAGCGCTTTCGGGACATTGCTGAGAAGCTGCATGCGTTTAATTTAAGGTTTTTAGAGGATGATCCTCGAACAGAAGGGCTGATCTTGGACCAAGATGATGGCCTGGGAATCATTTGGCGCAAAAGCTCCACCTGGAATGGTGTGACTGTGATCTGAGGACTTTGATGATGACTAGCTGGTGACTATATGGAGTGCAGATGCAAAATGGTGCAAAATGGTGCAAAATCTGAAATGCTCCAAAGAGACATGTTTGAACATGACGCCTTGGGCAAGTGCCCGAGATCAAGTCAGGTGCAGGCGCCGCAGGCGTTGTGGAAGAACTGGGATGCAAGACGCTTTGAAGCGGTTGGAAACACAAACATGTTTAGAAATTTTCTAAATTGGAGCATTTACTGAAAGAATTACTGTATATAAACATATTTATAAGTATAATTAGAATTAACAAGTTATATATACATATATATATAATATAATTACATGTATGCATGTAATTATATGTGCCTTTGCCCAGGCTCTTGGAGATGGCGATGGAGAGAGAGAGGGAGAGAGAGAGAGAGATGTAACTATATGTATATAAGGAGCTTGTTTTGCTGCAATGCTCAGGAGTTTGCGTCAAGGTTGGCAGATGCAGTTTTGCGCTGGTGCGCTGCTGAGCAGCAGCAAAGAGCCTTGCTCCTGCAGTCCTTGCTGTGCAGATAGCCGGTATTGGATCCTGGTGACACTGCATGGATTGGTTGGCAACAAGACCAGTGGACGGGGAAGATGACCAGAACCTCTAAAGATCTGAGGTGCTTGTGGCATTTTTTTCCCTGTTAGTTGTTGCACATGTGATGGCCATGCTATCCCTGTATACGAGTTATTGCAGGCCTAATCAGCTCCATACGTACAGTTTGTATTGGGTGAAATGCTGATTGTTGATTGTTCCCGGCAGGGTGCTGGCGCGACCAAAGCGAACTCAGCACAACGCTTCAACATCGGCGTTGGATTTAGCGTTGAACTGGCACAGTGGGAAGAGTTGCGCAAGTGAACGCCTGCTTCTGGACAAATCTATGCATTCAAACGCACCTGCACATTGGAGTGGCCCTTCATGCGGGTCAGAAATATGTGTTGCGCAAGAGGGTGTCCAGCTGATAGCCAGGGAAACTGCGACAACGTTGAGGCACAACCATATCAACAGCGACAGTCATGGATTTTTTGTGCCTTCCGGAGCGGATGTTGATGCTAGTGTCGAAAAAGGAGCTCCAAGTGGCACTTGCGCAGCTAGTCCAGGGCTGGGTGCTATTCCACTTGCGCATTTCTGTGTCATGGCAGGTGATCACTTCGACAAGCTGCGGAAAACTCGGGAGGAGTTTCCTGATGCCACCTTGCTCGCAACGGAAGCCTGCTACGAATCGCAGCAGCATTTGGTGATTCCAACCTACATGCTACTACATGCTACTACATGCTACTGGGATCTACTGGATATCTCCTTTTCTGAATTACCCAGTTCCCCTCTTGGGAGTTCTACTTTTCTATTCCCTGAAACTCCTTGAAACAGCCTGAAACGTCCTGAAACTATAGAATGTGGAGATATCAGGCGGATTCTGGAGGTGGAATTGCTGACCACATTTTCCAATATTTTCCAAGTGATTTTCCAAATCTTCCCACCACCAAGTGGGCCACATCTCCACTAACATGGCTGCCATGCCCCCTAGGAGCGGCACCGGTGGAAGTCCGGCACCCGCATAACCGAAGGCGATTGGAGCTTTGGCGAAGGCGCAAAAACGGAATTTGTCCAATCTTTTTCAGCAATTTCCAAAGCCAATGGCAGGCTATGCGCACGACATCATGGGGAATTTGAATGCTGGCGCTGCTGGCTGGATCGACTGGAACATGCTCCTGGGTGTAACCGTGCTGCTGTTGAATCGCCAAACGCTCGGCAGGATTCGGCAGGTGCATCGCAAAATAACACGAATGGATGGGACAACTGGCACATAGGCCACAAACCACATACCCACACCTTCAGTGGTCGGATGTGCAGACTGCCCGATGCTTTTTCAACATTTTTAAACTTCCCATCCTTCCTTCTGCTTACTCGCGATGAATATATAGTCCAAGCAGCAATTTCTGGCTTGACATGATACCAACCCGCATTATACAATCAACTATGCTGCACCACAGTACGCCCTGATTTGGGCTGGTACTGTGCTACCTTCATCCGTAGCAGATCATCAATTTTTGGAGGATTTGGAGGTGAACCGCCTATTAAGTAATCATTATATAGTCCTGGTCACTATTAATGCTGGGTCCTGGGTTGACGTGGTGAGGCTTTTGGACGATGCTGGCGGGCCAAATCACGTGGGCAACGTTTGCGACTCGCCACTGATGGCCAGTGTGACCGATCAGGTGCGCGCAGTGTTCTGCTCGATTTTTGCTGAGTGGTTCCGTATCAGTTCGCGTTTTGCAAACTCTGCAGTCAGCTTCTGTGTTACGTACAGATTTCCCAAGTTTTGCCATTTGTTCATTTGATCCAAGCTAGAGGTTCCAATAAGGTTCTGACAAAGGTTACTGGAATTCCCAAAGCTTGTGGTGCTGTCAGGAACTGCATGTTCATCCGCAGTACTTTTTCCTGGGACATTTTTCCAAGTATGTTTGGCCTCGCTCCAAGTGCAGCGTGGCAGCAATTGCGGACAAGAAGAAGGTGATCATCATCATCATCATCATCATCATCAATGAACAACTCTAGGTATTTCCTGGTGATTTCTAGTACTTGTGCATGGACTATGCACGGATTACAGTATCTTCAGATATTTTCAGGGAAATTGTCGAGGTATGTCATGATGAAACGCTGGGACTTGGAGACTCACATTCCATTCTCGATATGACTCGAACTGCACATAGACACTTAAAACTGCACATACAGCTTAATCACACTGCGATCCCTGCAAAAGTGGATGCATCTGGATGGGCACCCAGGAACCCCCCAGAGAGATGGTTGCTGATTACTAGTAGTGATCATTAGCCGCTAAAGGGGCCCTACAGTTACCAGGGGTTCATCGCTGCAGACGACCAAAAAGCCTAGGGAACGACAAGCTTTTGATGTCGTACACCCATTTCTGCCAGGTTAAGCACCATTCCCAAAGTTGGCAGGTCAGAAGTTTTGTCTTTTGGCAGTTTACACTTACGGCTCATTCGGGTTCAAGCCTGAGTTTGCCAATTTGATCTAATTTGCAACCACAGCCTGGCAGCTTCAAGCCTGTTGTCCTTATTTTTGCAGAATGTTCCACACGCACCATTTCTTGTGGCTTGAAGCTCCATTCAATGAGAAAACAATATCATCCCATATCATCCCATTATCCCATTTGTGTGACGGGAGACCATAAACGATAATTAATCATTATAATACATAAATATAGTTATTGCAAACCCTCCGCAAAATCATGGATAACTTCGAGACTTGGAGATTTATAATTGGCATCTTCCCTGGTCGTTCCAGGTCTGGCATCCTCCATGTCTGGCACCCCCAGCTGCAGCGAACAGCGGATCTATGGCACCTGCACCGCGCAGGACGGGCTGCAGGGGGTGGCTTTGAAGCGCCCAGACGGCGCCTGGGCTGCGGGATAGGCATTTCTTGAGGGTCCTTGGGTGCATTTGTGTGGGTATGTGTTATATGACATTATATGACCATAGAAAGTAATCCTCCATAAGATGGGATAATGTGGGAAAACTGCTATAGTTGCGGCATGCTACAGCCATTTCCCTGGATTTTACCTGCTTAAATCAAGTGGAAGTGCACTGCACGCACAATTCTGCTGAATTTTTGATGAGTCGAATTATGTCGGAATGGAAGAAAACATGAAACAATGAACATTTTGGCTGATCGCAGGGAAAGACAGAAGCGGCACGAATCAGAATAGCCTAAGGTACTCGGGTGGAAGGCGCTATGCGAAAACTTGCAACGGGCTGCAGAGTTGTAAGGCACGAGCACATTTTCTTTTGCATGCGCCAATGTTTGGATCAACCCAGACATGCTCTAAGGTGCTATAGTCGTGGTAATGCTGAATGCCGCAAATCTCTCGGCAACTTGCCTGTCTGGGAAGGGTGCAGAGAGAAGGCGGATGAACCCCATGGTTGGTGCAATTGGAAACGGAATAAAGAAATCGTGTGGCAGATGTGAATGGTGGTGGGACAGAGTTGCTGAAATTTGTTGACCCATTTAGATGCTTACTTGCGGCTTCATCCTCTCAAGAGGTTCTTGCGGACCTTGCTTGAGCGTGCAAGAGTAGTGCTGAACTCACTGCCAAATTTGCAGAGGATGTGGAAATGGCATGAAATGGCCACCTAATGCCACACAACTTTTTCCATCGACAGGCGAATGCCGTTTGCAACTGCAGATTGGCTTTGGTCCAGATTTATCCTGTTTCGTCTTGTTTGAGATTCCACGCAAGAACAGCTATATATATATATAATATATCAGCTGAGACGATGTGTGAGATTTCTGGTTGCCATGGAATCATGGATTGATTGGAAGTACTTTCCACACACTCCTTGCCTGGTTTAATATTGAGTTGTGAATGAGACAGTTTGGAGGTCTCTAAGTGAGGTCTGTGAGTTGTAAGTGAGACAATCTGAGAGTTATAAGTGAGGTGGATACCGTCCATACTTCTGTGGATGTGTTGGGAAAGAATAAGGTCAAGGTTTGACCCATGATGTTTCAATGAGTCCCCCCGCCTCGTGATTTTGACGCTCAGGTGACTTTCAAGCTGCTCTTGGACGGCGCGAACGCAGCTCCCTGCGCCCTCCGGGCATCCATTCCTGCGCGGTCCATTCAAACCTACGTGCTGCAGCTGGCCGACCAAAAATTCGATGCAGACTGAGATGACATGGGAGTGGGTCAAACTCTTTGATGGGCTGGTTGCATCACAGATAGACTGATCATTTTGAGTAGCAACCATGCCAATTTGGGGTAAAACATGATTCTTGAATATTTTTCAATGCCCATGCTGCCAAGTTCCCATCCAGGGGGACATGTCATCCATGAGACCACCGCTGACCCTGTGCAGGGCTTATTTCCAGAAGGTCAAGCTGCACCGTCCATGGCGCAAGCGTCGGAAGCTGAGGGAACGCACAGGAGGTTGCAAGTTCCCACTCAAAAGTCACAAAAATTGCTGTACGCCACTGTACGCTGGAAAAAAATCGAAAGTCGTCCAGCACTCAGTTCTGATGTCTTTGTGACGTTGAAGGGATGAGGGATGCCTTGTTCGACAGGCTCCGGGGCCTTGCTGAGCTGGCCCGATGTTTGAGTCAAAGTGAAAGCGAGCAGGCTGGTGGTGCGGGGTTTGGCAGTGGAGATACGTGGAGATATCCTCAGTGATGTAGTGAATGGGAAAGCTCAGTTTTCAATAGGTGAACCATAGTTTGTAATTGGTGTGAATCGTTTGCACATAGTTTCTGGAAGCCGGTCCCGCTGTCCACTTTCTACTTCCCTCGCAGGCCGCGGCTTTGTTGGTGGGCCTTTTCCAGAAGCTTGGCAAAGGCGATGGCGATGGCTGCCGTTGAGCACATTTGGCACCACTTCAATGGAGCACTGATGTCACTGATGGACTGGATTGCATTGGGACTGCCACATTCAGGATGGATTACTAAATGGATTCTCGTCTCTTTAGTCATTCTAAATCTAGAATTCTGGATGATGGGATTTCGTTTGATTTCTTCAATGGGTCCCTCCATGCGTGAGCCTGTGTGACTGTCATAATTTCTCAGGGAACTGAAGTGGCAAGGAACTGCACAGTTCACTAATGGAACCCGATGATTTGACATGCGCTTGTCGTGCTAATATTGTCCCGCCCATGTATGAATGCTTACCTGTCCTATCCTGTACTCCAATTTTGTTTGGGCAGCCAGTGGCTTCATTGCTGGCTTCAAGATTGGCAAATGCTACAGAATGTGATAATATGGGCGCAGATCTTGAGTATGAAGGCATTTGTATTTTCATCATCCACCCCGCAGAATAATTTTATCTATTAATCCATATATATATATGTGTGTATATGTGTGTATGTATATATATATATGTGTGTGTGTGTGTGGTACACTTCCCCTCTGATGAGACCGGATTGAAACGCATTTTCAAGAATCCCATCGCCCGATACGACATTCTCGCAGCTTGGGAGCAGCTATTCTGGTGCGTGGTTTGGGATGCCCAGACTGCATTGCATGCTTTTGATAATTTTGATAAACTGCGCAGCGAAGAGGGCACCAAACTTAGAGAGGGTGCCCTTTGATGAAGGATGTTCAAGTTTGGACCGTTTGAAAACAGTAAAGCAAAAAGGCATAGGAACTCACTAAGAAAGAAAAGGTCTGATCACCGTCAAGGCCCGGACTTGACAACTTTGAGCACAGTCTTCTCAGTCTTCTGCAGAGGCTTCCAAGCATTCACCGGCACACCAAGCAGCCACCTTTGCCCACTCCATTCTGGTTGAGCTGGTGGGGCATCCCAGATCTTCCCAGCACCGCATCGAAGCACGGGATACCAATCAGCAGCCACCAACGGAGTACCGGTCGCCACGAACGGTGAGGTGGGAGGAGTGAGGCCGCCAGAAGTGCAAAGCAAGAAGGTGGTCGGCCCGGTCGGCCAATCCCTTGGGCGATGCTGGGCGTAATGTGTCAATTTCATAAACCACAAATTGGGGATGGCTCGGGATTTTATTGTGGATCCACTGCAGTGTTTGTCCAACATGGGTGGTACTATAAAACATGATGCATAATTAAATTTTGGGCATCCTGTTTTCAGGCAAACCCTATTTTTGATGGTTGCCCATGAATCAAGCACTCATGGCAGAGCACTGCATGATCTCACATTTAGATCTCTTTAGGCCGGGTTGTTGCCATGGAATTCCGAGTCAAAGAACAAAAATTCTTGATTTGGGGGATGAGGATAAAGGATGATAAAGGTGGCCTGTCAGTTACCAATGTTCAGGATTCCTGCTCGAGTTTGGGAGTAGTACTGTGCCACTCACTATAGAGAGGCATTCAGTGAGTATTCATTCAGCCCCGGTCGTTGGTTGCATGAAACATGACAGGCCAACAAGAAGCGAAAAAGGCGCTTTGCTGAGTGATTCTTTTTGCCTTGGCGTGCTATCCAGAAGGCCTACATGTTTTCATCATTATTATTGCACCCAGCAGTTTGTCAAGGTCGGAGGCCACCAAAAGCTTGCAGGGGCTCTTGGAGCGCAACGCGGCAGTCTGTTTTCTGCAATATGTTCTGATATGAATTTTGTTCGTAAGAGCTAGGGCAAGGACATGGTCGGCAAACATGACTCAAGAGAGACGACATGCCCTTGCTTCTACATGGCACGGAATGTCACGGAGTTTCTAGTGTCTCTGTGGCATGCTGACAGTTTTTCGCAGCATTGGTGAGGCCAATGGCAAAACCGATGTCTTTGGATGATGATTCCAGGTGCCATAGCGGTTCAGAAAATCAGGGAGTCAGCAGATCCCAATCACTGCCACTGGGGAGCAACAAACAGTAGGTTGGGCACAATTCACTGCAAATCCTCAAGATTCCTCAAGTATATTACTTTCAGATGGGCGCAACCATCATGACGCACAGTTGGGCGCCAGGCTGTTGATCTTGTCCACCTTGCAGGAAAAGAAGGCACCTGTAGGGCCGGCATAATATCTTTAAGCACTTGCCAGCTGATGCTCGAGGAAGATGTCAAGCCTTGGGCGCGGAGATATTTGAGATTTCAGCCTGGTCCACCATGGTCCACCCTGAACACTCAGTGTCCTGACGGCAAGGCATTCCAGCGAGTGCCTCAAAACCTGAAGAAACAATGGCAACAGGTGCCTGGGGTTCAAAATGTCCAGCATTTTGAGATATTCTTAATGTCTTTGCAACTTGTTTCAAGACAATCGCCTGATGATTGCTCCTATTTTCAACACCAGTGAACCGAATCCACGGTGGCCATCCAGGATAATGTTGCAATGTTTGGCGCCTTCTATTCAAGCATGCTGGCAATGGTTTGCTCTCAACCTTCTTAAGATCCGCTATGCTTTCTCTAGCTATATAATATAATATATGTGTATATCAATCTCTCTCTCTCTCTCTCTCGCTATATATATATATATACACATGCATGTATTGTAATGTAATGTAATGTAATGTAATGGAATGGTATGGTATGGTATGGTATGTAGATCATATTTACGATGTTTATCTTATTTTTACTTGTCTGTCCGGGTCTGTCCTGTTCCCGGACCCCTGCGGCTGATGCTGACGCCGTGCAGGCGTTGCTGTCCCCCTTGTCGCCGCTGCAACCTTAGAATTTCCAACGCCACCAAGTCTTGCGATTTGATCTCCAGGAGGAAAAGCACCTTCAATGAAATAGCAAATTATTTGGTGACATTCTGGTCATATTTCATAGAATATTCCAGGGTCCAGTGATTTGGCATATCCCCGGGCTTTGAACCTTTGTTTCACCTAGGAAGGGAGTTCGTGCCCGCTGTGGCACCATCATCTCTGGCCTGGTACAGGCCAGGTTTGGTTCTCATCTTCAGCACCTGTTGATGCTTCGGCTATGCCATAGCCCGTCAACCAGTGATGACCATTGGTAGTTGGACCATTGGAGGTGAACACCTTTTTTTGTTTGGTAGCGCTTTGGCATGCTTTGACTTTGCTATCTCTGCTTGCTGATTCCAAGACTACTTGAGAGCCCTAGCCTGTGGTTGGCGTCCTACCACCCTACCACCATCTGCCAGGGGAATGGACCCCCCATGCGGGTGGTGGCAGTTGGGACAGCTCAGGAGAAGTAGATGATTCTGTGAAATTTATATAAGGATCCCATTACCAGAAACAGGTGGGCATTAACCGTTAACTATTAATTTTGCAGGACAAACCCAGAATTGGACGATTGTATGGTGGGGACGAGTCAGGACCAATAAACACAAGCACTTGGGGGTCACGGACAGAAAGCACTTTCAGTGGCACGTGGCTGATGTGAATGGCATCCAAAAAATTTAAGAGCAACTGTCGCAAGTGTCAAGCCATCGTGGTATATTGTGGTAAGAAGCAGGCCTAAGCTCTGTTGGATTGAAACTCTTGGATTTGTTCTGTTGTGTCTCGTTACGCCGATGCGGGAATCAAGGATGCTGCGGTACCTCTGGATTTTCCGAATGCAGTGCCCAAGGCACAGCTTGAGCAACTGGCCGTGCACAGCAAAGTGCCCGATGAGGCGGTCCTGGTTCGGGCAGCCCAGCTGAGCCCAGCTGAGCCCAGCCTGCAAGCTGCTAGCTGTCAGCTGGGGCGGGAGCTGAGGCAGTGGTGTTCCAGCAATTCTTGGCCAGTTTCATTGCTCCATCAGGCTGGGGTGCCTGACCTTAGGAGATCTCAGGAGGGAACTTGAGTGGGGATAATCTATTGGGATGAAGACATGAAGATGGGATCCCCCATGTTGAATGGTAAAATCCAGGGTGGATTTTCCCTTAGACAATGATCAAGATGGAGCGTATTACTATGTGATCAGGACATCGAATCATTAAACACGACCAGTTCGCATCATGTCTGTCGGGTTTTCGGATGCATCAAGCCGACCGCCTGCAACATCTTTTTGGTGCAAGCGCCTCGTACGTGGGGGTCAGGCTCACCAGAGCGGGGTATGTTTGGATCATATTTTAATATATTTTAATGCATCTGACAATATCTCACGATATCAACTATGGGGACTGGCATCTCAGCCGCCGTGCGCCTTGTACATCTTCGATTTTGTTCCATGTGATTCCAGGGTCAGCCGCAACGCCGGCGATGAGCTTTAGAGTCCATGGCGTGCGAGTGCTGCAATGCCAAAGGTGGCACAATTCCGACGCAGCAGGTAGAAACCGTTGCTAAGTCTGCACGGAGAATTCTGAACAGACATCAATGCATTGAATCGAAAGCACACCGCTTCAGATGTTTGGAACATCCCGGCAACTTTTGTGACGCATTCACCGCCAGAATTTAAGACATGGATTTGACAGGTAGGTTTGGCCTAGACGATTTTCGGATTGGATGTTGGTTCCATGACGCATGTTGACGTGATGCAAATCGCATTCTTTGTTTTCAACTTCTTTGCTGTACATCGTTGCTACGCCTTTTCGCCACAGCTTCAGCCTGCTCTGGATCTTTAGCCATGAGATGTCATAGGGTTCTTGCTTCAGACAGGAAAAGTTGCTGTTTGTGCTTGGGAAGCAGGGTGCGGCTGTCGTTATTATAGGTTGACGATAGGCAAACACGTCCAACCTACATATTCAGATTCATTCATGCAAATGTATTCATTTGTATGAGTATTCTGTATGTATTCCCTCCCTCCCCTCCCCTCCCCCCTCCCCTCTCCCCTCTCGTCCCTCCCGCTGGCTCTGGCTCTGGCTCTGGCTCTGGCTTGGCTCTGGCTCTGGCTCTGGCTCTGGCTCTGGTCTCTCTCTCTCTCTCTCTTTCTTTTCGCATATGCATATTCTCAGAGGACACATGAAGCTAATCAGCACCGGGCTGTCTCCGGCCATGCGTATCGCATCCCAGGTGGTGCAAGTCAGACAAGAGGAGGATCCACACAGTGTAGATATACTTCAGCAATTGGCGTGCAACAGCCTCTCCACCCTCTCCATGAACTTTTCCGTGGATGGTGAAACAATCATCCCAGTCGCTGCTATGGGCAGCCAAAGCTCTTCTGTTCCTTGGCTGGGAGGGGCTGGAAGGGCGGAGGATGCTGAGGAATTCCCAAGAATTTGAGGTATTATTGGGAGGTTTTTTTTTCCCCATGCGTTTTGTTTTTTTTTTGATTCTGTCTTGAGAAGGAGAGGCCAGGAAGGAAGGGAGGAAGGGAGGAAGGGAGGAAGGAAGGGAGAGCAGGAAGGAAGGGAGAGCAGGAAGGAAGGAAGGAAGGAAGGAAGGAAGGAAGGAAGGAAGGAAGGAAGGAAGGAAGGAAGGAAGGAAGGAATGCAGGGAGGGAGGCAGGGAGGGAGGGAGGCAGGGAGGAAGGAAGGAAGGAAGGACGGAAGGAAGGAGGGAGGAGGAAGGAAGGGAGGAGGAAGGAAGGAAGGGAGGAGGAAGGAAGGGAGGAGGAAGGAAGGAAGGAGGGGGAAGGAAGGAAGGGGAAGGAAGGAAGGGGAAGGAAGGAAGGAAGGAAGGAAGGAGGGAAGGAAGGAGGGAAGGAAGGAAGGAAGGAAGGAAGGACGGACGGACGGAAGGAAGGAAGGAAGGAAGGAAGGGAAGGGAAGGAAGGAAGGAAGGAAGGAAGGAAGGAAAAGGAAGGAAGGAAAAGGAAGGAAGGAAAAAGAAGGAAGGAAAAGGAAGGAAGGAAAAGGAAGGAAGGAAAAGGAAGGAAGGAAAAGGAAGGAAGGAAAAGGAAGGAAGGAAAAGGAAGGAAGGAAAAGGAAGGAAGGAAAAGGAAGGAAGGAAAAGGAAGGACGGAAAAGGAAGGAAGGAAAAGGAAGGAAGGAAAAGGAAGGAAGGAAGGGAAGGAAGAAGGAAAGGAAGGGAAGGAAAAGGAAGGAAGGAAAAGGAAGGAAGGAAAAGGAAGGAAGGAAAAGGAAGGAAGGAAAAGGAAGGAAGGAAAAGGAAGGAAGGAAAATGAAGGAAGGAGAAGGAAGGAAGGAGAAGGAAGGAAGGGGAAGGAAGGAATGGGAAGGAAGGAAGGAAAAGGAAGGAAGGAAAAGGAAGGAAGGAAAAGGAAGGAAGGAAGGAACAGGAAGGAAGGAAAAGGAAGGAAGGAAAAGGAATGAAGGAAGGAAGGAAGGAAGAAGGAAGGGGAAGGAAGGAAGGGGAAGGAAGGAAGGGGAAGGAAGGGGAATGAAGGAAGGGGAAGGAAGGAAGGAAGGAAGGACGGACGGACGGAAGGAAAAGGAAGGAAGGAAGGAAAAGGAAGGAAGGAAAAGGAAGGAAGGAAAAGGAAGGAAGGAAAAGGAAGG